TGCTTTTGTGTAGTTGCCACTGGGGGCTTCAGTTGGACCATCCTCTGAGGCTGAGACAGTATGACTCCCCCCAAGGCGAACCTACCACGGGGGTTTCTTGGCAAGGGATCTTCAGAGGGGCTTGCTATTGCCATCCTTTGAGGCTGAGGGGGGGGGATTCCCCCAAACAGTGTGATGTAGATCTACATCATTTATTTGGCAGTTTAATCCCCCCCCCAAGAACTATCAAAATTGCGACTCCATTTTAAATTGATACAAATGGTAATGTGAATATCAACAGGGTTAAATTGCAATGGAGAGATTCAATCAGGGTAAACGTAGTGGGAACTTTCATTCGGTATTGCATCATCGAATCTCCCCAAATCTACTCGGTACAAAAATGCTAATGCAAATGCACTCTCATTTGATATTAAGGCAACAGTGAACTTTAGTCCTAATTTTATGTTTATTTCAGGTTTTTAATACATGTATTAACAGCATTCTTTATCTCTTGAGATTAGTTTTTATTTATTTTTAGCACAATCTAATTGACAATAAAAGTAATATACAATGAAAGACAAAGACATGGAAGAAAGAACAAGAACAGGAAAAAAGAGAAAGAAAACAAGACATACAGCTAATACACTGAAGGCTCTGACCCCCCCCCCCCAATCCTGAGTGTTGTTAAAAAAGAAAAAAGAAAAAGATATTATTCTACCATTACAGATCCAACTAAATAATTTTACTAAAATTACTGATAATGTAGTCACAGATTATTACATCATTACATATTATATTGCTTTAAAAGTCCATAAACCATTTTCAAAAAGTCCTTCATTAGCATATCCTTTAGAACCCATATTAATTTGACAATTTGGGCTAACTCAGCAACTTTAACAATCCATTCTTCCATCACTGGCTCATTTTGTTTCCAAGTTTGAGTAAACAATATTCTTGCTATTGTCATATATTGAAGAAATTATTCATATTTACTATCCAGTTCTTTATCCATAATGCCCAACAGAAACTTTTCTGTTATCATTACAAAATCTACCTTTAGATTTTTTTGGATTAACATATAAATACCATCTATACATCGTTTTATACAGATTTTTATTGAAATTACTGCATAAAGTAAAATTTATATTTTTGGACCACATTTTCCCAATACATCCATATGGACATTATGCCCCAAATTTGGACCACCTCTTCTTAACAACTTTTCAACCATTTAAATGTCTCTCTGGGGCATTTTCTTTCAACATTTAGATCAGATTTCTCACTTGCTCCAGAGAGTTTATCATATTTTTTTACCTGCATAAATGGTTGTCAGACTCTCTGGGCTAACCCAGCAAAAGGTTATATATATATATATATATTTCTGAGCACATTCATCAAGAATTGATACTCTGTTTTTTCAGCATTCTTTTGAGAATTCCTTTAAACATAATTATTTCATTCTCATTTATTTAAAGCCTTTTCTTAAAGTGTGGTCTCAATATTTCATCTCTGACGCTTTTATAGATGAAATGAATTATACCTCTTGGAAGTTTCCC